AAAGCATCACCTAGTTGCAACTAGTTGCAGCTTATAAAATTTTGGAGTTGCAACGTATTGCAACAGGTGACAAATAAATGTCACATACTTGCTGCACTATCTCTAGTGATGACAAATAAAGCATCACCTAGTTGTAATTAATTGCGGCTTATAAAATTTTGGAGTTGCAACATGTTACAACGGGTGACAAATAAGTGTCACATACTTGCTGCACCATCTTTAGTGCCAATAACAAAAATGGAGGGTGCCAATAACAATTCTCTTTATATATTAATTAATTAAAAATAACTTATTAAATACTTGCATTTATTGTATACTATTTAATAATTATTAAGTTACTATAAAATATTAGTATTATATTATTATAAAACTGTTATATATTAAGTAGACGTAATATTTAACTGATAGAAAAAAATATATTGCATGATGATTTCAAAGTATAATGATTATATCAAGATCAAGTGACTATAAAATTACTATTATTAGATATTGATTGAATACTTATATTATAATATTACTTACTAAGAATCTAATTATAATAGTATCTTTTATTGTAAGTAATATTTTGTTTGATAAAAGATAAATAAAAGTTGCTTATTAGAACTTTAATAAGTTATTATTTTAATAATTATTTTTATAATTTCTCTTTGATATTTAATTTAGATTTGATTATAGATTTAGAATAGTTTAGTAATATTATTTTGCTTATTATAATTTATATATAGAATATTAATTGAGATAGTAATAGTAAAAAATATAATAATAAAAAAGCTTTATTAATGAAATTATTTTAAACTTATTAATTATATATTATATAATTCTTTAATAATAAATTAAACTTGTTTTATAATTCTTTTTATAATTATAAGAAGAAATTCATATAAAAATTTTTGCTATACAAATATTATTAAAAAATTATAATAATATTATAATTTTATTTAAAATTATAATTTATAATTATTATTAAAAAATAAATATTTATTATAATATAATTAAAGTAAATTAAAATTACAAATAATTTTAAATCTATATAATTTTTTACATATTTATTTTAAATATTTTATATTAATTTGTAATACTGATTATAATCTATAATTTTATTTAGAATCTTATTGAATACAATTAAATTCTTTTATAATTACTATTCTTAGAAAAACAAAATTTGATAATTATAAAAAAAATATAACTGTAGAATAATTTTTTTACTATATTTATATATAAATAGGAAAGCAAAATAAAATAAATATAAAGAAATATGACTATAAATAAATATAATTATAGAGAAATTTAACTATATTTATTTGAACTTAAACTAGATTTTTAAACAAATTTGAGTTTGATTTGAAATTTAAACAGAATTTGAACCAAATTTTTAATTGAATTTGAATTTTCAAACTGGATTTTTTTAATCAAATTCAAGTTTAATTCAAGCTTGAATTGAAATAGAATTTTTTTGAAATTCTATTTTTAGTTATAATAATAATTTTTATTTAATTAATAAATAATATAATATCAAAAATATATTTTATAATAAAATAACACTTGTTTTTACAAGTATTTATTTTTATTTTTAATTTTAATAATTACAATATTAACAATTTTTTTTGTTATCTTATTTTGAATTATAATAATATATATTAAATTGCTCAATTTTTATATATTTGATATTTGAATATTTTATTATAACTATATATTTATTTAGTATAATTTTATATTTTGTAATAATTATTTATATTAGAATCTTTATTTAAAATATTATAAGAAACTTTAATATTATTAAATATATTAATTTAATTTATTAATTATAATATTTTTTATCATTTAAGTTATGAGTTTTTTATTATAGTTTTCTATTAATTGAGATATATAGTAGCAATCAAAAAGAATGGAACACTAAAACAAATTTATTAATAAAATATAGTAAAAATATGAAAAATATGAGTTTTTCTTTTTATATAAAAGTTTTTAATTTTACTAATAAATATTTTTTATTTTTATATTAAAATAAAGATAATATCACATATTTTAATATATATTTTTTTCAGATTTTTTAGATTTAATCTGATGAAGCTGTTCTAATTGCATATAAAGTTAATTATTTTTTAATAATAAAATCATATAAAAAAATAATTAACTTTATATGCAATTAGAACAGCTTCATCAAATTAAATCTAAAAAATCTGAAAAAAATATATGTTAAAATATGTGATATTATCTTTATTTTAATATAAAATAAAAAATATTTATTAGTAAAATTAAAAACTTTTATATAAGAGAAAAACTCATATTTTTCGTATTTTTATTATGTTTTATTAATAAATTTGTTTTAGCATTTCATTCTTTTTAATTGCTACTATATATATAGAAATTATTATTAATAATTATTGGAAAATCTGAAAATTATAAGATTTGTACTATATTTTTTGTTAATTCTTTAGTAATAATTTAATAGAATTCTTTTAATTTTTTTATTATTAATTTCTTATTAATAAAAATTTTTAGAAATTATATAACTTGTATTTTTATAAATTTTTATTATTATTAAATAGCTATTAGTTCTTATAAATTGATATTTTCTTTGTTTATATTTAGTAAAATTAATTTATATAGTTTATTTTTATTTATTTATTTATTTTTAATAAATTAAAACAAATTAATAAAGATAATATTTACTAATTTATTTTTATTATATAAATAATATTATAATAAATAATTACAAAAATATAACAAATTATTCTAGACAATTTTTTTATATTTCAAGCCAACAAGTTATTATTTTTCTTAGTTTACTATTTATTAATAAAACAAATTTGAATATTATTAATAACTTTATTTAATTTAATAAGTTATCATTTTTTTATTATTAACAGAAATACTTTGTTTTCAATTATTAATATAATTAATTTGAACTAATTTATCAAATTTGTTGTATTTTTGAATTAATATATAACATTTTCAAAAAATAATATTTGGTTCAAAAATAAAATTTTTTTTCATATTTTATATATAAAAAATTTTTTTATACTTTATATATGAAAATTGAAAATTTCAAGTTTTAATTTTATATATATTTATATTAATAATTATTTCTAAATTTATATTAACTAATTATATATTTGAAAAAATAAGATATATGACTTTTAAAAAATTATTTTAATTATAAATCAAAAAAATTTTTATATAATTTTAAATTGGATAATTTTTTTGAAGAATATTGTGCATGAGATATCACGTGAGTATATATGATATCAAATCACGTTGATAATCATGTACATGTAAGATAATGACCGAACAGTGCTTAAAATCAGTGCAGGATCACGTGGTCTTCAAAAATAAACACTCACGTGATCACAAAAAATTGACGTTAAAGGTTATTTTATTATTTGAATTAGGATTAGGATAGAGTTAAAGATATGATTATATGTAAACTTGATTTACCGACATTTTTTATTAGTACTTCAAGCTAGATTTTGACCTCTGTTTTCCACATTTTTATTTTCTTGTGTCAAAAACCACGTGATTCAGCACTGTCTATAGGATCGAAGCTGGAATCGATTAATGAAGTCACGTGGTCCGAACTTTTGGAGATCACCTTGGTGAATTCGTTAATGTTGGTGTTGGTCAAATCGCAAGATCAATGTGTAATGCGAAAGGCAGTCCATTCTAAAACTGGAATACTGTGTGTTTGCATCCACCAACGACTATAATGCGAAGTTGTATAAGGATGATTATTCATCCAAGGAACCAAATATTTGGAAAGAATATTAATATAACCATCAGAATCGAGATTGTTATCGACTTCTACCAAAGGTCCAACACCATCCCATCCAATACATCACCAAAACATTACCACCAAATTTTACTGTTAGAACCATACAATTTTCTATGTTTTCAAAGGATTTTCGCCATACTCTTGTACGCCCACCTGAATAGAAAAGGGAAAACGTGACTCATCTGACCACACAATTCATCATTCCAGTTTTCCTTGCACCATTGTAAACGCTTTTTTTTATGCTGAGTAGTTAAAAGAGGTTTATGACTTGCATAATAAGATTCAAATGATAGTAATTACAGTGGTATTAAAGTGAATTGAGTTATGGTGCAGGAACTCTTAAATTGACAATATGTTTCAATTTTAAAAGGTTACTACTCAACATAAACATAGAGGCAAAATTTTCAAAATCTGACTGGTAACTTTGTTCTTTAATGTATGCATTTAGAGTTGATTGGTAATTTTAATGAGCGACGCTTTGCGATCCTTTTTTACAATACGCGTTGATCACGTTCTGATAAAATTTTTGATTGTCCAGTACGTTTTACGGGATGTAGAGAACCTGTTTTTTTAAATCGATTAATTGTGTCACGTACTTTTTGCTTTTGAATAGTGAGGGTAGAGGCGATAGCTGAAACATTGATACGCACCAATTATTTGTTCACAAAGTTCTGAGGATAATTCTTTTCGTGGTAAAGAAATTATATATCAAAACAATGTAAAAATATTACTTGATAAAGAATAATGCATATGCACGATGATTTATTGTAGGTCAGTGTACATGTTATTGATATTTAAATTTTTCAGTATATGTACTACAAGCCTTTAATATAAACCGTTAATACTAAATTCACAATAACGATAACGACAATAATGGATACTATAACACCTCTAAGTCCGTCACGTCCAGCTCTTGCAGCAACCGACAAAACAAGCTTCGCTTATACAACAACACGTGATCGTTGGCCGGTAATTATCACAAAGGTAATCGATGGTCTTTATCAAACATATCATTCCCTCAACAAAGAGGAAAGCGAAACTGAATTAGAGTTTGAGACGAAACAAAAAGAAGCTAAAGCTATAATTGAAGAAATGGGAAAGATAAAGTATCAATTGCAAAGGGATAAACCGTTGATGTGGGTACAGATATACACAGGCAGATCATATTTGTCTTGCTCGCGAAATTATCTAATTGACGTTTCCGCATAAAATTTTAGCCCTTTAGAAGATGATGGTGAATCTGATGTTCTGATGTGGCATAATGTATTCAATACTTATTTCCATGATAAAACGTGGTATTCTGCTACCTGGTTGTTCACTGAATGCTATCTCTATCGACTTGTACATTCCGCATTTGCCAAAACAAAATATTGGCGTAACTACGATCCATTTGCACGACAAAAGGAAGAAACATTCAAAGCATCCTTTGTCGCAGTAAGTGAACTTGCTAAACGTATAAATGAATTGACCAATGGGTTATTATCATCATCGTCAGCATCAAGTACTGAGGAGGAGGAGCAAGAAAGACGTCGAATTGTATTTCATGAATTGGCACAAGTGTGTTTATGGGGAAATGCCACTGATTTATCATTGCTGACTAATCTTAGTGGAGATGATGTCGAGAAGTTGCAACGGGGTGGACGAGGAACGGAGGCACTTAAAGAATCGGAAAAAAATATTTTGGCAAATGATTTGGATCGGGTTTGGGAAGAGAAGCTGAAGAATTTAAGAAATGGTAGAATTGATTTTGTATTGGATAATGCCGGTAAATTCTTTTTTTGATAGTCTCTTGGTTTTTCATCTTTGATAGCATGTTAAAAATTTCTCTCCGACATTATCTCGAAAAAGGATTCGAGCTATATGTTGACATGGTATTTGCTGATTGGTTAATACAAGCTGGGTACGCGTCAGAAATTCATTTTCACGCAAAAAGAATTCCGTGGTTTGTTTCTGACACAACACCCGCGGATTTTCATTGGCTTCTTTCAGCCATATCCAATCTTTCTTCTTCATTCTCCACACAACAACAATCTGATCTCACAAGATTATCCACACGCTGGAGCTCTTATCTAGAAAACAAGCGATGGATCCTGCATACACATCAATTCTGGACATCACCGTACGCGTATTGGCATTTACCCGACGAGGCACCCGATTTATTCGCTGATATATGTAAAGCGGATCTGGTTCTGTTGAAGGGAGATTTAAATTACCGTAAATTGGTGTATGATTGTAAATGGGAGTTTACGACTCCTTTTGTCGTTGCTATTGGTCCGTTGGCAACGATCGAGGGAGTGCCCGCTATTCTGGCTTTGAGAACTTGTAAGGCAGATGTGATTGTTGGTCTGCCTGCTGGTGTTGAGGAAAAGATGGAGGCAAGCGGGGAGACTAATTGGTTGTATTCGGGGAAATATGCTGTTGTGCAATATAGTCTTGGCAAAAAGGATAATTCTATTTTTCTATTATCTAATGTTTGAATAATTCCTTATCATGTGATCATTTAATCAGTGGCTTATAAATAATGATATCATATTGTATCACTCTCCATATCGATAAAAAAGTAAAGTTTTACATTTACAATTGCGCATTGTAGAATAGATACAACCATTCGAACATGAGTGCACACAATAATAATAACAGCAGTACACCATTAGCACACCAAACAGACACATATGTTAACCCATTCGAGATTGGTGGGGACTTGGATAACTCACATGAGCATGGGGCAACTACTCTATCCACGGCCTCCTCGTCGGGAGCTGGAGGAGGCGGTGGTCTTTCAGACCCTTTTGCCGATCCTTTGACCTCGGATATAATGCAGCCTCTTGAAGCTGAATTTGTTGATTTATCGTCACCTATGGATTCCTCACATAAGAACGTTCAAAGTAATAGCGATTCATTACCAGGGCCAAAAATGAGCTCAGTTAGTAGTAATAGTACATCAATAAACATTACATCGCCACCAGTAGTGAGTGGAAATATCGGGAGTACGAGTAGAAGTGGTGGTAGTGGAGGTAACGCGAGTATTGGGACTGGACGACCATTGTTTGGTAGTAATACTTTGGATGAACCTGTATCAGAAACGATTGTAAGTCTATTTTTGATGGCAGAGTAGTAGGAATGTGATCTTTTTTTATCGTCGATCGAATGAATACTGATTTTTGAATGAATTATTAGCTTCGTGATTTGAGAAATATTGCACTGAAATTGCAACAAGTTCTTCATCCGAAAGCAAGAAGAGATGTACTCAAAGATTGCAAGTATCTTTTTACGGGGAATTTTTTTATTTAACTGCATATTTTAAAATATTCACATTTTCTCCGATTTAATAGGGGATCTTTGGGGTCCACTTATTTTATGTTTATCTTTGGCAATGTATATATTCTTTTTCTTATCATTGGCACGTCATTGATTCATTTTGTTCAAATCCTCATTGGTTAATTATATTTAATAATTTTTTAGTATTCTGTGTATAAATACAGAGAATGAACAAGAAGGATATGTATTCACCGGTGTATTTGTGATTGTATGGTGTGGAGCAGCGGTTGTTACGGTGAACGCAAAATTGTTGGGTGGAAATGTGTAAGTATTATTTACGCTTTAATCATAATATCATTAGATTTTAAAAAATGCTTCATGTTAATAATTTATTATGTCACATGAAAATAATAGATCATTTTTTCAAAGTGTCTGTGTACTTGGATACTGTATCTTTCCATTGGTGATCGCTGCGTTGATATTCTTATTTGTGAGTAATATCGTCATACGATTGCCGTTGGTGATTCTGGCGTTTGGGTGGTCGTCGTATGGTAATTCGCTTGTTTTCTGTTTGGTCGGTTATTGATATTTGGTAGTGGTGGATTATGCTCTTTTATCGCTAAGAATCATGATTGTTCACGAATTTTTAGCACCAGTCAACTTTTTCTCTTCGTCACATTTGGCAAATAGACGTGCGCTTGCGGTGTACCCTCTCTTTCTGTTTTACTTTGTGATTGCATGGCTGGTTCTCATTACTCGTCGATAAGAAAAAAGATATCAGGCGAAAGCACGTCGTGAAAAAAAGATTGGATTATTACTGTTTTTTGTTTGGGGTTTACGCGAGAATGTGTAAACGGGATGTGTGGATTTTTATAGTTAATTTGATTTATAATTTCATACATAAATTTGTCAATTAATTATTTGTTCTGGTGTGTGTGTGTGTGTGATTGTGTGATTAGAATTTTATTATGATTAAAAAATTCAGGTACCATTAATAATAGCTATGTTATAATAGAATTCGCAGTGTTGAAGAGTAAAGGGTGTTCTATTTAAAATGTTAGTTTAGACTTTCGATACTTTGGGTCGGAAATAATGCACTTTTTGATTTTGTCACAATCATTAATCACTCCGATGTTCCAAATAGAAAACACTAAAGATATAGTCATTCTTTTTTCGTCGCGACATTATTATTAGTGTTTGTGTAATAGTCATATTGTGCCGTCATCCAAATGAGCGAAATAGCTTTAAAGAATAATGGTATCGAATTAATAATCATTTCAATCAAAAATAGGCGGAGAAAGATCCACTCACTAGCAACACAGACAGGAGCCGCCAATCCCGGTCCAATATTCAACGTGCCAAACACAAAATACTCTGAAAGAAAGTGCGTAATTGCAATTATGTACGTCCAAAGTGTTATTTGGTAGATGCTGTTTTTCGGTATGTTCATAGTTATGAATTTGTATGGATTAGAATGAATCAAGCAACGCGTTCGTTCATCGATTACGAAAAACCGAAGACTCACGCTTTATTGTTCAAATTATATGCAGCATAGAACCGGACCACGCCGCTTGTAAATGTCCATATCGCAAAAGTTCGTGATGATAAAGATGTTACTTTACATTAATTGATTCATACAAATAAACATGATTTATTCTCTTCTCTTCGGTAATTTATGCACTTGAAAAGTTTCATTATACCTTCCTCCGGTCGAGCATTGTACACGCGTTTCGTCAACTCTAACGTTATTAAATTCTGTATGGTATTCGCAACCGCGATAATAGCCACCAAAAGCATCCATTTTGGAAGTGCGCCTGTTGGGATTAAAGACGACGATAGTATCGACATTCTTTTTTTTTAATTTTTGCGGAAATAAAATCCGAATTATAGACGCAGAGCCAAAAATATTTCATAAAAATATGCAACATAAAAATATGCACTATGCAAACATGTGGTTTGATCAGGGTCCTTTGGTTACACAACGGAAGAAAAGTTTTTTTATTAATAACGATAAATAGTAAAATAGTAAATGATATAAGAAAAAAAATATATATACTAAATGAAATTATACAAGAACGTCTTTTTTACGAAGGATCTTCTTAGTAGTAACCGGGATAATAAGCTATGATAAAAACCAACCAGAATGTTCATTTGTACAAAGTGAAAGAAAGGGAAAAAGATACTAAATACAATTTTGGGTGTTTTTTTTTTTTTTTAGGGAATCGACAACACCATATATAGTCATCGTCAAAGCATGCATACATGTGTACATACGTAAGGGGAGATTTCTTGAATTAATAGACAGATTAATGTTAAATTAAAGCAGATAATACAGATTAGTTATAATTTTTATAAAGTGGTGAAGGGAGAAAAAATCAAAAGAATAAACACACAAATAAACAAGTGAACAAGTGAAATTGCCCGCAATTCAGATCAAATTCAAAGCATTAACCAACTACAAAAATCAATGAATCCAGAAAGAAGTTACTAACAAAGTGAAAAACTCGATTAACGTGAAACAATACAAACCTTCTTCGTTTCTTTTCTCCCTTCGCTAATTCTCACGCTTTATTTCTAAACGGAAGCTTCAACTTGCGCCCTTTCGATGATCCTCCACTACTTCCATCACTAGAATGACGATCATTTCCAGGCGTGAATTCTAGCTGTATATGTAATTTTCCACCGCCATTTACATTTTCCCATAAATCAACCTTATTGGATGAATTATTAATGTGATCCCATACTCGTAGATCCACGTCCCCTAGATCGACATTATTGCCCACTCGGTTATAATCTTTTATTGAGAATTTTAGTTGGGTTGATTCATTGACACTTGTTGGTATTGTGAATGTTTCACCCCTGATTTCACGACCATTACGTTTATTATATTATTTATATTATTAGTATCATTAAACATAGTAAACGAATCGAAACAAACAAATAACAAAAAATAAATTTACCATTTCGGTGAACAATTTTTCTTTACCGTCTGAGTCTTATACAATTCCTTTTTATTGTTAAAAACCCTGACAAATGGATCACTGGTACCTATTAAACCAATCGACATTAATAAAAAATTCATTCTGCTAACCAGAAATAGTATAAATAAATTAATACTTGCCACTTTTATCCGCAGCTTTTAAATCTTTGGCTTCGACAATAGCTACAGTCAAAATACCAGATTCACCGCCACCATTCGCATCTGCTAAATAAAGATAAACTAGATTAGAACTGGTATATAACTGTACGTGATACGAAAATTAAAGTATGTGTTATGTAGTTCCATATCTAGAGATACATAGCATTACATAATTAATATATATTTTATTATGTAACGCTACCCATATTTATGTGCACAAGAAAACATCATTTCCGAAACAGACAACGGTAATCTTTTGTGTGGGAGAATGTAAAACTTTACGGAAAATAATAATAATAATATAACTGATATTCGGCTTTTTAAGAAAAAATCAAGTATAACATATATATGTTTTTTATGACAAATAACTTATTCCCATAATAGAAAAAGAAACAATAGTAAATCTAAAAAATATGGTCAAGTATAGACCTACCGGAAGCATGAATATGATCCAAGCTCGATTTACGCTGATTATTGTGACCTAGATCGTATTTTGGTATATATATATATTAAATACTAGACACAAGAATAAATAAATAAAATTGAAAAAATAAAAAGTACCATTTTCTTTTTCCTGTTTCACCTCCGATGCTGATCTTGAAAGTGGCTGTGGATCGATTACATATGGCGTTTCTCCCGTAGGAACAGGAGCAGCATTCGTTGCTGTTATTGTCGATGATTGTGTTGGATTTGTTGTATTATCGTTATTCGTCATTGTATTGCTATTTGTATTTGTATTTGTATTATTATTCGTCGTCGATTCGGATGGTTTTTTCTCATCCATATTACTGCTATTATCATTGATACCGTTATTGTTGACAACAACACCACCACCACCACCACCACCACCACTCAATAGTCCAAATCCAGATCCTAATCCAGATCCTATTAATTTAGCTCCACTACCAACCAAATCTGCGCCACTACCAACAACAGTTACCATCCCTTTACCACCTTTAGCCAAATTATCACCAACACCAGTAACTGAAGGTGTGACAAGACCAGTTAATGCTCTGAAGGTTGATGTGCTGTGCCTTTTGAGCGCTATGAATTCCGGTCTAAATAATAGAATAACTCGTATGCTGCCATTATCTTCTCCATCTAACGGGTAAATTTTATCGAGACCCTCAAACGGTTCAAGGACATTTATATCGATTGTACCACAACCTAGTTTTTCATGACTGGTCACTGCATTCCAATCGTATACTTCAAATGTAAATTTGGCATCTTTTCGTGATAACTATAAGAGTTTATTTTGAATCATCGTTAATTAATCTTTTAATTAATATTAATGATTCGAGACACAGTTAAAACTCGGTATAATGATGGCTAATTAAAATCTCGATATAATGATAACGATATTTTACTAATTACTCAACCATATCGGGTTTTGACTGTAGTTATAATAAATTTACATACCACACGAAGATCGAACTTCTCATCAAAAGTGGGATTGCAATTCTTTTTGACGGTTTTCGACCTGAAAACCTTTTCGCCATTATATAGAAATTGGATATATGGATCACTAGTACCTGTTTTTACAGTTCATCCAGAAAATAGTTAAAATCAAGCAAAGGATAAACATCAAACTTTAAAGTACCGAATAAATAACTACCTGATCGATCAGCGCCACGTAGATTTTCTGCGCATTTAAGTGTGACTGTTAAGACTCCCATGTCTACGTTATCAGAATCCATTATTAGAATTCGATCAAATATAAAACATCAAAATTTATTAAAAAATAATTATAATACTAACTGTTTATACTTTCGAATGGCAACAATTTAACTGGAGTTGGTATATAATGTGCCTTGACATTAATACTAGCTTCCCTTAAATCGTCAATCGGTATTATGACTCCATCTTTCGAGTTTCTTATCAAATCTTGGACATTGATTGATGCTGTTCCAATTGGATCATCTTTTTCTTCATGTCTAATATTAAATCTTAATACAGACCAATCAAGTTCTTTGATGAACACATCGGCAACTAATTATTTTCAATCGAGACGTTTTATATTAATTTATGAGTTATCAATAGAGCACTGGGATAAAAATAAAGTGAGAGATACCTTCGTTGAATGTAGGATTACTTTGCTTGGACTTGGAAGTTCGGTAGAATGGAAACAGAACAGCATCGATATATAACTCGACAAAAATATTTTTCCTTTCGATCGTGACTTTGTTGATATCGATAACCAATATCCCGGATGCTAAAAATGAATTTAATGTTAATAAAGTTTAGGTCATAGGCAATTGAATGCTATTTTCTAATGTTTCGGAAAACTTACGATGCTCCATGACATTCACTATTCCTTCAGGCTTTTTAACCTCGGTAATAGCAGCAGCGTCGTGATCTGTTTTCGCTTCAGTCACTTTTTTTTCAGCTTCCGATTCTTTTGCGACACGTAATGATGGGTAAAAAGTGGCCGAATAAGACAATTCACCCCTGGTTTCACGCCCAATACTCAAAGGTGCAGTACTTTTTTTCATTTTTCGATTTGACATAAACGTTAAAAAAATGGAAGGATCAACAAATAAAATAATAGATAATAACATACATATCAAGAGAAGTGATAGCCTCGTGAGTTCCGTCTTCTTTCCGTCTCGCTAGACTCTGAACAAGAACCTCCGTATGACCAAGTGTTCGGTCTTTACCAGCATTTTGATAGTCCATCACTTCAATACTGATCGATTCTTTCAAATTATGTATAGGTACGTAATGAATATAATTCCAGACTGGGTTTAGGTTATCTTCGATTGTTTCAGTACGTCCTCGAATCATAGGACCCGAACGAATGCGTGCATAAGGATCCGATTTGCCTATGTTGTTGATACAGAATCAGTATAATATTAATTCCGAGATTAAAAATAAGTATCGTGATAGAAAATCGAATGAGAAAATTTAAAGAAACTTACCGAATTTTTCGACATTTTTCAAATTTTTAGCGCTCTTGATATTCAATTTAATCACACCGATCGGCTCCTCTAAATAACATTAATAAATTAAAAAGAATTAACAACAAAATCAAAAATAATCGAAATAAAAAAAAGAAATAGAAAACTTTACCATAACCGGTAGCCGAAGGAGTATAATCCAATAACACAGGTTTCCACACACAACTTACTCTTAATTTCGAACTCGACTTATAAAAATTGAACCAATCACTCCTTTCCAATGCCTGCATAAATGCGGGTATTGTGTTAGTCCAGCTGGCAACGATAGGATCTTCGGTGAAATCACGCGAATCCTTGATTGCTACGCCCACTGTAACTGTACTTTTATCCGTGATGAAAATTTCTTTGGATTCCTATGGAAAATAAAAGTTGATTTTAATCTTTGCAAGGTGATCGATTGATCATGTTGAGCAGTTAAAATGTCTATCGTTACCTCCCAAACAGGATTATTGGTTCTCTTTAATGTCTTTGTGGTGTGCACTACCTTTCCATTGCATCTTAGTTCTGCATATGGATTATATTGACCGACAACAGAGTGTTTTGCATCAAGATCCTTGGCCTGGTGAATGGTATAACGTAATATACCAATATCTAATGATAATATAGTTCGAATTAAAAATTGCATTATAAAAAAAAATAAGAGGAAAATAGCATTAAATATACATACTTGATTCAATTATCGGATCATCTGGCCCACGAGGAGCTACAGGATACCAAATAGCATCGAATCGAAGAGTGCCATGTGGTTTACCATTTGTTATAACTTCAGTAATACTAGATATTTATCACGAAAAATCCATAAAAAATAATGCTAAACGTGAGCTCAATAAAACAAAATAATATAATTTCTCGAAAAAGACATACATTTGCTCCTGTCTCGGATCCTCTTTCAACACATTACAAGCGAAAACAGCACTTCCCAACAGTTTATCTTTGCCCACATTCTTATCGAACAACTCGAAATTTAAAGTATCTTGCAAATTAGTAAGTGTGATGTAGTGCGTCTCGTTCCAATGAGGATTCAATGAATCGGCGATGACTTTGGTGCGGGCAACTTCTGTGTATCCGTTCAACGATAATTTTACATATGGATCTGAGGTGCCGAATGTTTCGATATTTTTTAGTCCTTTTGCATTATAAATTGTTAACTTCACGACTCCAATAGCAGCGTCTATAAATTCACGAGAAGTGTTTATTGGTGATTAATCAAAATGAATTAAAATCCAAGTATAATAAAATTCTAGTATAGTACCTAGAGGAACGCCGCTCATCATTGTTTCCATATCTAATTCGTACTCATTTGGAGCATACATCATTGGCTTCAGTGATCCATGTACTTGATCATGAATAAATGTTGATAACCCCGGGAACTATCAAAATTTAATCGAGTAAAAAAAATCGATTTAGGAAATAATTGACAAGTTAACTGTGTTAATGACAAAAGCTAATCAAACAAAAAAAAAGACTCACATTAGCAATATCAAAACCAAATGTTTCACCACCAATCGGTTTCAAAATAAAATCAATTTTCGGCGGCTCCAAGAAACTCAGCCAAACAGTTTGAATATGCGGAAAATTATTCATCAATTTCAATTTGATGCGTAATTTTCCTGAGAACGAAATATCTTCCAGTAATATTGGGATTCCTGCGCCAACCATTCCTCGTCCAACTCTGACGGTCAGAACTATTTTCGGGTTGACTTTGTTTCTTAGTTGTTGTTTGGTCATGTTTGCTAGATCATTGGGTTCAAATGCTAATTTCCAATCCATCATCTTTTATTATTGCCAATCGAAAATAGATTAAAGTTTATTATTGCCAATCGAAAATAGATTAAAGTTTATATTTGAAAGTTTTATAATATTGTTGATAATGTTAATAAATACGTTACCACAATATCATCTTCAGTTTTTGGATATGATTTTATTGATTCAATGTGTGGTGGTTTAGTACCCAAAGTAAAAGTAGACAGGCGAAGAGAATCCAAGAATGATGGAGTCGACGCTACTAATACAGCATCCACTGATTGAACGATAGATGCGGCTAAAACTGGCTCGTAAATAAGCCAAAACCTTCGCATAAATTCATTTAGCCATTCTGTTGACTCTTCCTCAGTCTCTAAACGTTCTTTAGCTAATTCACGACTAATATCACTACGAGCATTTCTGTAAAATCGATTTACAGAATGTTTAAAGTATGTGGCTAATAAGAAATTTATGCATAAGTAATCAATTCGAATTTCATGTCGAACGAACTTTAATAACATTCACACGTTTAATTTCACTCACCAACAAAGGCACAAATCAACAAAACCCATCCGAAACCGAAGCCCAACACAGTCACCAACCAAGTAACAAACACAGCTACAAATACAACTCCTGCGTTCAACCAAAGTTTTCCAAAATATAATTCACCCAGCACTTCATCAAAATAATCAGATTCTGGAGTAGCAGGACCCACTTCAGTCTCTGGGTTCGCAACTCTTTCCCAACCAATACGAGCCCACATTGGTATATCCGTTTTTGAACTAAGTCCCATACCACCGGGAAGACTGTTTATAGTCTCCAAAGCCTTTGCTTTGTCAATATCTGAAATCGCTGCTGCAGTTGTAGCAGTACCAAGTTCTACTTTTGGTCTTTGTGCGGCTACTTGTTCCGCTTTTTTCTCGGGTGAGTCGTCTGGTGAGAACTTGTGTACATTGACATTGGGATTTTCGAGAGCTGCATTGATTTTCTCTTTTACCTTTTCTTCGTCTATTATCGGTGCGTTGCTTCCAATTTGTTCCGCCATTTTAGGCAATATTTATTATCCAACGAACCTTTTTATATTTTTTATATAAATGCTTGAATATGATAAATTGGGTAATTTATAATGCTTTTTCCTTCAAAATTAAACAAATCATCCAAATATTTATGCAAAGAGAAAGATATATAAGACAAACAAATTATACAAAGAAAAAGATATACAAGAGAAAAGTTTGAAACAAAAGTTCTACTATAGGATAGAAGCTAAATCACTGATTTTCAGTTTCGCGTCATTATTTTTTGCGTCATTATTTTTTGCAGTAGTACTTAACGGCGTCGAGTAGGCAATCGGCCGCTCGAAATTTAATGACCGTTCTTAGATAATGGACTTGTCTTTGTTTAGTAACGATTTTAAAAATGCCGGCCAATCTGAAACCAACACGAAGTTTTACAAAAGACCAGACCATGTATGATCATTTAATTAAACTCGAGAATGCCCCGAGTCAACCTTTCTTTGAAACAAGTTTGGCGGGATTAAAAAGCTTACTATTGTCGCGTGTGGATGAACTTTTATTTTATTCTAGGCATGCATCAGAAAATCAAACTACAATCAGCGAGATACATCGGAGAAATCCTAATTATAAACCTCGTTACTTTTTCTTAGATCAATAGATTATTGAATGTATATATTAGGACTTGATTAACTAGTAACACAGAAAGATTTTCCATATATGTTCAATGAATCATTCTCAACCATCGCTATCGATATACATGTGTATATGCACATGTATTGTCGTTATCGTTATATCAATTTCCAAAAAAGATTATACATGTATTCAATGAGCGTGCATTTAGAGATTAGAGAATTTGCGTTAAAGTAATGCAATGATACATCATATGCATCATGTTGTTAAAATTTTAATCAATCAATGATAAAATAAGAGTAGTCTTTTGATTGATGGCGTCTCTTGAATTTTCATTTGATGCACGTGATTTTATCACGTGATATGCACGACTTCAAATATAATGGGATTTATTGAACGTGCAAAATATAGAGGGTGTGCATTTAGCACTAGTGCTAGGTCTCTCTGTATATCCCTTTCTAATTGTTCAATCTCCAAAAAAAGATTATTCTTTATATTATATCCCCTTAATTATAACTATATATTATTATAAATTAATTACATACGTATATACACCACCCTGAAAAATAAACTTCTTAATAATAAATTATTGAAAAATCCGGTTTATCAAGAGGATCTATAAGTGTTCCTTCGGTTTATCGAAGCTTTTAATTAGGGCTTTGGTTTAACGGGGTTCAGTTTGGCTGTATTAGATTTGTGTTGAATTTTTGTTATGCTATATATTATTTTATTTCTTTTATTATTTTATCTTTATATATTAATTGACAACCTTGAAGCAAAATTTATCATTGATTAAAATTGAGTTTACCAATACATTATGAGATAAAACAAAAACCAGCTCTTTATCGTTACGTGTGTGCTTTAATATTTTTTCTTCTTCACCAGGGAGACTTTCACAATTCGTGTTCGGATAAAATTTCAGGTACAGTATATAAAAAATCTATTATGTATGAAATCATTATTTTACGATTTGTCGATATTGCCGCACATCGATATGAATACTAAAAGTTCCAAAAAATTTTCGAGCGCACAAAAATATCATCATTCGGTTTGCCATGACTAGAAAAATCGAATGGAAGTTTTTTTTGTCGAATCCAACAACCGTGGGTGTCAAGATATTGCACCCGAAAATTGTCGTTCTTTGAACCGTTCGATTGTAATGGCAACTTTCGGGCACGATATCTCGACACCCAGTTATTGAATTCGACAAAAATACTGCCAATCGATTCGTCTAGCCGGCTGAATCAAATGCTGGTATTTTTGTGCGAATACAACAATTGAGTGTCGAAATATCAAGTGTTTGGAAACTTTTTGTAGATCTGTAATAAAATATGGGACTAAATGTTTTTGTCTTATTCTTCGATACTTGGAAATATTGCTGTCATAGAGCAAAACTCATCCAGTTCATTAAGAAATCTGGTTAGACTGTATCGGTATCCAGTATCAAATACGTATTTGTATCAACCCGTATTGTCCTTTGCATTTTCGATTTGCGAAAATTCGGTTCTGGTTAGTTCGGGTCAACATCAAACCCGGACCGAACCGGACACTATATATTCGGATCTTTGCAATGATTGGAGTTTTAGTCGAACTATTTTGGATAGTTTCGCCATATACGTATTTGCTAGTACCCTTACTGAAATTTTACTTATGAAATAGTTCTAACAAAAAATGTTCCTTGAGAAATTTACTATACTATGTTCCCGTTTGCTATACAATAACCCTAAACCTAAACCTAACCTATAACATTAGATGGTATGCACATACGTATTGCTTTCCAAGATGTAAATGGCTATGCTGTGTGTGATTTCTAGCCATATGGATCCATATCGAAAACATTCGATTGACTATACTTAACTGAAAAGTCCCTTTGTTGGAATTAACAAGTGATCTATCGGCATTAATTGCCATTACCATGTGAAAGAATATCGATTTCAAATCCTTCATTATTTCCATTCTCGATAAAATTACTAACAATGAAAAAAATCATTCGACCAATCCATCAATGATATTTGATTACACGCTTAAATGGCACACCCAATAACGATAATGTTAAAAATGCTGATGGCTAAGCGAGTGCCAAAGCGGGAAATTTACCCCCGAAATATTTATTTTTTTGTGAAAGAAATAATTTAGCCTTAAAAAATTGTAAGTTGAAGTTTAACAGGCACTTTAATATATTAAAATTCAATAATATTTATTTAATTTCTTGTCAAAGATGAGTTGGAAGCGTCGCTGCCTGAGTTAGTTTGTTAAATTACGGAACATATTGGGACGACACGGGAATACGACGATATTCCCAATGTCTTCCGTGTCGTTTAATTTAACATATTTCGCAGAATTCCAAACATCGTATTTAATCTTTCAATTAAATAAAAATATAAATTTATTTCGAATTTAAATTTATAGAATAAATAATTATACAACATTCAAGCATACAAATTAATTAAATATACTATTATTATAAATCAAGGCCACTTATCAAAACCAACATTTTCTCTTCAATTCCTCCAACCGCGGCAAATTCTCTAAAAAATTTTGCCGCTCTCTTATTTTTCTCTTCGTGACTATACTCATCATCAAGTGCATTGTTAAAATTCCCGTATCGTGATCCAGGAATCTCATTATCTACCGCCAGACCGAGTCAGCCACTCGAATAATCGTGCATTTTAAACAATATTGACATTATAAAAGGGGTGTCGGAATCCGAATGCTGTATCTCCGACATTTGCGGATTTATATCCACCATTGGGTTCAAAGACTATTGCTAATTCTCGGGTGTCTGGTAAGGAATCGGTCGGTAACAGACACAAAGTTTTTAAAGGCGGATTGAATGCTCTACAACCACGAGTTTCTGATAATTTGTTGTTGAGTGTGTTGAGCACTGGATATGGCATAAAAGGAACTTGTAAGAATGGTTTGAGACGAAGAAATGGATCGAAGCATTTAAGAAATAGTTCATGGGAGTCTGACTACTGTCGCTATAATAACAGGTTTAAATTCCGGAGAAATTCGACAGCACAGATTCATCCTCTGTTCTTTTGTCTTTAACCATTCATTAGTCGATTCGACAATGCTTTCTCAATTTTCTGTCCCAAGTCCTATAACTCCTGCGTAATTTAGTTTTTTTGGTCATGTCCTTGATAAACGAATTCATATACCACGCCAAAATTATCGTCGCCACCATGTATTCCCCAATATAAGTCGGGATTTTCAGTTGGAGAGATATTTTTTATTGATATATCTGCAAGCAGCGCTTACAAGCTTGTCAATTGCTAGACCATAACGACCTAATAATAATAGTAGAAATGTTTATTTTAAAGTTTGGCAAATAGTACCCAGGTCTCTTACATTCTAGGAGCCAAGAGATTGATAGTATTTTGTGAAATGGAGGGTACTCTATAAAGAGGATACCACTGACGAAACAAAAATATATCAACATATAATAATTTACGAAAAAGGAATCTGATGAATAACCATGTTGCTCTAGCAAAAATCCTGTCTTTTGTGCTATCATTTTAGAGTATAAAACTTTATACCTGCTACCCGGGTCTTTTACAATTTCACTTTAAAACAACCTTGATTAATCCTAGGGTATTGATAATGGGGGAATACTATCAAAGGGGTTGCTATTTGCCGAACTACGGTATTTATTGTTTTCTTGTTAATCCAAGACCACTACCACCAAGCGTTAGTCCACCGAAGCAAGTACTATTGATTGTTGCAGAGATACACGCCAACCCATGTTCCGCTGTTGCAGCATCAAGATATTTGCCCAGTGCTCCAGCTTGTACTTTATTCAGTTTCTTCAAGTCAAGAAGCAGCCTACCGTTTGTTGAAGATGTACCGGGACCACCCGCACGGATTGCCAAGTCGAGATTGTGAATGTTATCTGAATTCACTGTATTTATTATAATTATTATTATTCCTAATGTAGGTGTTATTGAATATATTGCTGTTTTTGCAATGTCTTCTCTAAGCCAACGACTTTATACTCTCTCACCTCTTCTTTATCTGTCGTCGTCGCTAATAAAACTCGAGCTTCTTTTGGGAATTGCAGTAGATGGCAAGGATTCTTTTGATTTTAATTTTTCTCGAGTGCAAGAAAGAAAAAAATATTGACCTGTTCTTCCAGGATTGATGGCTCCAACATGGATTTCTTCGGCTTGATTCTCACGGATAGACTTTCCATACACTCATACAATGTCCAATGTCCTAATTTTCTCTCGTATATTAATTTCAAATCCATTGCAACTTTTCAAGTATCATTCGGCCAACAATGATTTTATCTCCGAAATTCGTGATGGAATGGTGGTTTTGCTAAACCTTTGTAACGTGGATGATTCGGATCATTGCAAGAACCTTATTATAAAATAACCTTAGGTAAAAATGAGGTGGTCCACGAATATTAATAGTTTGGCGATCATTCTTTTTAGAGGCAAATGAAGTATGTTGTAAGGATCTTGACTTTTCTCTTTCGATTTCTTGCAATGTATATATAATTCATCTCTGGCCTGTATAGCACTTGAAATAGCATGATCAAGCACATTATATGGCACCTTTCCATAAACGCCCATTCCTTTGTGTGTCAGATTTTCAGCCGAAGAAGCACTCTAAAAAAACTGCTTTATAGTTCTATAATGCTGATGGTAATTGATTACTACCATGTTATAAACCAACCTTGCACAATCTATCCACTGTCGAAGTAAGATCTTCTAAGAAGGATTGGAATACATTCGTACTTTCAGTGATTGTGTCAATCTGCTTTCTTTGCTCTTTTGACTCGTCACGTTGTTTGCACTTTCTTCCTGCGTTTTTTGCTTTTTGTCTTCTCGTCTGTATCTAAAAAATAAATGATCTAATTTGGTTTAGGTGAAAGAAAGTGCAAATAAATAACATTTACCTAGCAGATCGCTTTCCTTATAGTCGGCAGATGAAGACGGTGTCAATGGCGAGAATATCCTGAGATAGTTCCCATTCATCCGTTGGATTGTCATTCGAGAGAACCAGCGTTATGCTATTAAGGTGGAAGGTGAACTTGATGAGGTCGAAGACGAACCTACAGAGTCTATCTCTGTGGACAACCACAATCGTCTTGACCAGTTCGCGACTCGATCATTCCAATAGGGAAAGCAGTCTGGGTCTCTTGAAGTCGATGCCGGAGCCGATATCGGAGATGAGGTGATGGTTTGGGAATTGTGAGAGGAGGTACTGTTTCTGCCTTTCAAGATCTTCTTTCTGTTTCGGGCTGAAGACTCACGTAAATAAAGCATCACGTTGGGACGCCAAGGTAAAGGTGGTGGTAGAATCATCAGCACTGTGGTTTCTGAGCATGGATTCGACATTATAGGTTCTTTGTCCTGAGGGAAGTCTAGAAACGTGTATCTTGACATCTCTATTCCAGCGCCGAAGTGTACTAGCTGAGACACCGAAAAATTTGTATTTTTTAGATGCAGAAAGCAACATGCAGAAGTCAGTAAGTTTTGCTTATAGCACGAAACTCGAATGCACATTACATACTTTTGCAGTTAGTAAAGAGGCTGAAATAGTGCTTGGACCCATTCAAAAAAACGCGACCCGGGTCATCCGACGGTTTAACCCGCGAATCACTCGGGTGATCGATAGATACACCCGGGTAAGAAGATTACCTGTTAAACCCGGGTTTGCATGATTAAAATTATGTGATTGGTTAGGTTATTGTCAGACGGTTACTATTCCTTACAACGCATCCATTCTACTTTTGATGGGGCTTTGGTGAGTTTCTTGCTACCATTTTGCTTTTTTGTCTAAATTAATTACTAACCACAATGTTTTTCCCCTTGTACTCCGAGTCAATCATACGATTTTCAACATTCGATCTATTGAGCACCGCCACATTCCACCTTTGAACTATAAATCCAAAAGCTATCCTAGATCTACTCAAAATATAAAGTCCAACCAACCCGTGCACGTTATAGATTTTTGGCAAATTTTTCTTCACAAGCCCAGCCTGTGCAGTCCTTGGTTGATCACAGATCATTGTCACGAGTCTATGGTCACGCTTGGTCACTTGCACTGGATTTATTGTTATTTTGTTAGTGTGCGGGTTCTTACAAGGATCACACACAAGAAATCGTATTGTATGCTAAGACACTCAAAGCTTTTTTACGATTCTAAAAAACTTTTCATAAATCTACATCGATTATAACTGTAATTTACCATATGACGCATATTTCAGCAGATGAATCAACGGGTTGACCCGCAGGTTGACCCATCCACATCCACCCGGGTTGATCCGGTGTACCCAACCCGGTTCCAATCACTAATTAAGTGTTATAACTCAAAGAGGTAAGATAATATAAAAAAATAATCATAAATTTTTATTAATTGGTTAGATATAAATTTGTGAAATTACAATTTTGGCGTTTACTAATATTATATTATAAAACTAAGGAGTTCTGATTGATCAGATTGATTATTACGTGAGTGGTGTTCTTTACTTTGTAAAGTATCGGTATGGACAAATTCAGTATTGGCGCCACTCTCGAATAGTGGAGAGTATAGTTCGCTTCAGCTCAAGAAACATATGTAAATTAGGTTTCATACCCATCTATAGACTTGCGAACAGCAAGTCGTTTTCCGGTTTCTGCACGAAATAATTTCATTTTCAAAGGGCTCTCAATAAAGATACAACTTCTTGACGGTTCGTTAAAAAAGATACTCTTTTATGGAATACTCTATAAATTAAAGATTGAAAAGGCGTATGTTGTTAGAAAAGAATGTGTGTGAATCGACCCATATAATGCTAATGAACGAACAAGCTGTAATATCTATCAAAGGTTATCACGAAAATTCTGGTTATACAGGTAGAAGCGACAGTTATGCTGTTATTATAGACTTGGAAGTTAGAGTCGAATAAATATTAATATGATGTTATTTATTGGATTGTGGAATTTAAAGTATTGCATTAAGCTCAAATTTAATTAAAGACTAGCTTGCAAGAAACAAGAGAATAAATTCTATTCATCAAATAATAGAAAACAAATAATTTAAGAAATAAGTTCTTAATCAGACTTCAGTAATAAAAAACAATCCAACAAGACGAAATTAATTTCTATTTGCTGTATACTGTATATCAGAGTGCTTCTATTGACAACACTGGTCACCGTGTATTACATTATCAATTACAGATTGAAACACACGTTTATTATTAGGACTAAGCCAAAATCTAATTCGACAGCCAGATTATAATAATTAACAACCGAGTAAAAAATTTTCAATGATATTGTATCATGAAATCATCTTGGCGTATCCATAATGTGTCAGGTTCGGTGATGTAGCCATTACAATTATCCAAATGTTGATTCCTTTTCACGGGAAAAATAAACTGGTTTTCTGGTTCAAAGACGGAACCAATAATCAAGAACTCCCGAAATTTTTTATTAGTATTTCGCATTCTTTATTCTCGTTTGCGCCACAGAAAAATGTATGCGCAATATTTTGTGCACTAAAATTTTTTTACTAATCTCACAAGACTTACTCTACCATACATGTACACTATTGTTGGCCAAAGCCAAGTATCCATTGTAACAATACCTCGACGCGTTATTGCAGTGTGGAAAGAACATAAAGTTTTCTTGATGCATAAAAGCAACTGAACCGAAAAGCCTGATCCTTTTAAACTTTTGAATGATGTTCCTTCCCTGTCGTTCTTGTATCATTTCCGTGCAGATCTAGCGCAACAAATGGTGCAACAAGATTCACAGACAGAAATAAATTATAATTACCATGGATAAACAACTTTCTCAATAAAACTAGCAATTCGTTTTGCTCGCTGCCAATGCAGTTATTGTTAAGAATAATAAATCAGATTTAAAAGAACATCCTACATCTTCATCATCTTCGCGTCATTTTGTCCAGGATTTAGGAATTCGGAGTCTGTCAAAGCGTCTACTCACATCCATCAAATTGATATTTCTAAACAATTTTGCTAGAAAGACCGAAATTTTCGATCTTGCAAGTTAAATAGTACCGAGTTTGTGAAGTGCAGTTTAAGAACATTCATATAGGTTTGATATTATGACCCAAGAAGGAATCGAATCTTCTGGGAAGAATCAACTTAGAATTCCGCAAAGAGACATCGTTACTCTCAAAAGAAACATTAGGCAGGGATACTTAGAGCATAGTTTAGACTGTTTAATGCTACTCAATAGATGGAATCCACGAAAGTAACGGAAACTCTGCATGGAATTTTCAGAAGATCCCTTTGGCCACGCACGCTATGCCACCAGATGCTAAGAAACACAAGGCATACCGACGGTAACTACGTGTTCGCATTAATAATACTTAACGACGCCCCAAACCAGGCTGGGTCTCATCATTTGAAACAAACCATAGGAATGAATCATCACTAAACATCGAAGCACACGCTCGCGCTCATATCTGAGATATTTTTTAGGTCAGGTTTCAAGTAAAAGTATAGAAATATAAAAGTGTAAGCGTAAAAAACGTAACATAAAATAAGCGACGAAAGGTTACATTACAACGAAGTCCATTTATAGATGTAATATTTCAAAAGTATTTGTTTTTCAAATAAGATTATATAACAATAAGAATAACAATATGAGGAAAAAACATTAATCTTGAAGGAGGTCTTTTTATGGAGAAATTGTGTTTAGAGTTTGGAATCGGTTATATTTTTACAAACCGGTTTTTAATAACACCTTGAAAATTGCAACCGGTTATAAATCGGTTATATATTAAAACCGGTTATATTAATTCGGTTTCAATCGATTAATTGGTTATATGACTGTCTCCACATTTTTCGAAATACAAAAATCCATACCCTTCGCTGAAACCGTGAATAGTATTAGTACTATTCAATGTCAAAAGGTGTAATTTCATAATCATGTGATAAATCTCCAAAATTTGGCGGCGAAAAGGATTTAGTTCTTATAACAAAATATAATACACTAAAATCTACTTCGTTTGGAATTAAAATGACTACGAGATATTATGAAACAATACATTGGAGTCAATTTCTTTCTGAGCGTTAGTTCTTGGACTCGTAGACACCATCGAAAGTTCAAAATAAATTTATCAACTTGACGGAATGATATCAATTCTCCGCACTATGTTTGCTTAGATTAAGAGTCGCTTTTTGATTTATCACATTCTGAGCACCCATCCTGGAAATCAAAAATTTATTCGTGTCATTCACACTCAACCTGTATCAAGATGGCGCTTCAAAATTTCGCCGCTCTACAAACACGCTTCATCGGTACATTCTATTGATCCGAAAAAGTAATACATTATCGGAAGGACAAGTCATGAAAAATAACCAATATGAAAGAATTTTTGGAACCCTAGCATTTGAGTACATGTAACCTTTTAGTCTATTATGCAGTGCAGCTGTTGCATTGAACTCAACATATTCAAGAGTTGCGAAAAAAAAAAAGGTGAAAAGAATTAATATAAATCAACTTCAGATCAAAAAATCATGAGAGTTATGAACGAAAAATCTAAGTCTGTCAACTTCCAGAATTGGTGAGAATTTGAATTTTATTCTTTAAGTACGTTTAATTTTTCCTTACGATATAACCAAATCAAAACACCCATTAGAAATAAAGCGTAAACAGTTGATAAATTTACTTTATAAGAACGTGATCGGGCCATAAAAATTGGGAGATTGTTCTTATATAGAGTGTCCTTATACTGAGGCATGACTGTATTGCCCGAACGTCATATGGTTTGTCAAATTTAAAAGAAAAGATACCAACAGTTGGAGATTAAAGCCTAAAAACTGCACTGACACAAAGAACTGCCGAATGTTATGCACAGCAGCATGAACACTCAATTATTTATTCGTTATAGTTGATAGGTCCAGAGATTGAATCAAAACGACATAATAAATTTTCAAACTCACATCTATCTATACGTATATACATGTACGTATATCGATCGATATATTGCTTAGTATTCTAATCTAACCTACAATAGGGTTATTTCTTCTAATATATATACTCAATTTCCATACCATGAATAGATGGTTTTTGTATTTAAAGTCAAAAGTTTGGAAACGAATGTGTTCGGTAATACATAATTTGAGATACCTTAGGCTTGAACCATAAATTGGCTACTAGGAGTGCAGCTTAACTAGTTACGGCATGTGTCGTAACTCATAAGTTTGCTCTCTTAGTCCAAACATAGTTTATCTAGATCTCGAAGAAAGTAAAGGTTGAGAGTACATACGTAATAAGAAATTCATTTTTCATACAATTTTAACAGTTGGAATTAGCTCAAGACGGACGATGACAAATAGGAATCGCATGTACACTTGATTTTAAAAGTCTATTGAACGTTCCAAATTATTACAGCAAAGAAACAATAAAAGTTACAACGTATTTAAAATCGCTAGATTACAGTGAAAGCGTTCGAAGAAAAAGCAAGAATTGCGCCTGTAGTTTCATTATGTATATGAATAAAAATATTACACCCTCTATCAGGTCTAAACGTTGCAGGAACGACAGCGTCAAACTTTTGGTCGCTAAGAGGAATCAAAGTTGAACCGGTGAGAAATACAAATTCATCTTTAATGATAGAGTTGAGTGAAAGGATAAGAGAAATTAGAGTGGATTTGGGGTAGAAATTGGGAGGAGCTATCCAGTTTATGGTGAAACGTTGGCCAGCTTTAAGAACAGTGTTGGTGGTTGGTTGAATAGTGATAATATCGCCTTTAGCATTTCCAATCGTGATTGATGCTGTTGTAGCACCAACAGTATGCCCGGTCTGATTTTTGTATAATATACCAACAAAATAGCCAATATTAGAAGGAAGTGAATCAAGCAAGGTATAGGTGGCTCGGAATTTGTTTTCATTCAAGTTGAGGTCCGATGCGAATTGTTGTTGAGACCCGGAAAATTCATAGTTGAGGTGAATACTAAGAATGCTTTTAATGCTTTCGTGCTTTGTAAATATAAAAAGAATATCAGCATGTTTAATTCTTCATTCATTTTTAAAGCGATTTAAAAAAAATGGCGTACCTTTTCAAATTCCACGACCAATTTATCACCTATAAAAAAGATATTTTTATAAATGAACAGTAAGTCTCTTGATCAGAGAGAGATATATACATATAGGCGAATCACATGAATATACTGACCTTGATTAAAGCGATCGCCCTCACTAGGTTTGAGAATCTTAAGGCCTGGAACATCTTCGAAGGGGAGTGCAGCGGTTAAGGTTGCAAAAAGGAGACAAGAAAGGATGAATAAATTTTTTAAAAGCATTTTATCGAACCAGCGTGATCAATATATATGTGTATGCAACGAGGATATTGCTTGCAAGGTTCAATGAAGTGCCTCTTTTCCCTCTTTCTTGAACCTATATTTATACAAAAATCTCAAGATACATTCACGCCTGTATTTAGTCCTACATGTAAGAATTGTGCATTTCTTCGTTCACTAACATAAGCGTAATACGGTATTGTTCTCTTTATGGTGAGGCCAAAGTTATAGGTTGTTAAAATAACTGTGAACACTACATGTAGTTATGCACTAAGGGATTATGTTTCACATTTTTCATTAACAATTTTTTGAGCAGACCGGCAAAACAAATCCGACACAATAAAAGGAAAAATACAAGAAATGCGAAAAATACGAGAAACAGGTGCCTAAATCTAGCTTGAAGTACTAATTAAAAACGTCGGGGAGGCAATTTTACATACAGTTTGTGCTTCAGCGCTAATTAATATTACAGTAGGAATTTTCGGGTTGATCAAAATTTTCGCTCTCTTGATTTGTGCTACCTGGAATATGCACGAATAAGTGTTCGCACTCGCCGATAACGCCATAAAGAGTAATTCGACTATTTGACTTTCATTTGCCAGTTTTAATAGTGTCATTGATGAAGCAGTTATTCCATTTATGGGGGGTTGGTGAACATGTGTAATCCAATAGGGGTGCGTAAATTTTTGTCAATCACCAATAAGAATGCATAAATTTTTGATCAACCCGGCAAAACAAATCCGACACAAGATATGAAAAATGCGAGAAATGTGAACATTACAAGAAAACAGATGCTTAAACCTGTCTTGGAATACTAATTAAAAATGTTGGGAAGGCGATTTTATATATCACCTTGCCCCCTAATCATAATCCTTACCTTTACTCTAATCTTATCGGTTGCACGCGGAAAATTTAGAGGAACTGAGTCATATGTCCACCAGGCTTTAGCCAACTCCCATTTATCGTTATCGTTATGGATAATATTACCATCCTATATCTTATCCAATAGCGACCTCACCCTTTTCCGCCGCCGGAAAATTCGATAACGTCATAAGAGTACATAAGACATCTCCATCCATTAACATTGCCGACGAAGCCATACGTTTTGAATTTATTTCAGCAAACATCTATGGTGTTGTATTGATAGATGGCGGGGCCGTGAAAGTTTATCCGCAATACGAAATTTCCAGTATTCATGAGAAGGGACCAGTTGATTGGACAATAAAAGTTGGCAGGAGGATATAGAAATAAAGGCATTGCACAAAATGAGATCCAACTGCAACGCAATAATAAAAAACGAATGTATGACGAGGTTATGTATAAAGAAGTAATGTATGGAATCATGTCAACAGGTAAGGATTACTCATCTACACACCCCTACAGTATATTACCGGAAATTTCAAAAATGAATGTGGCACTTTGGTACACGATATCTCGACATCCAGTGATCCCATCTGAACAAAAATATCACCTTTAGATTCGTATAGTCGAGGCGAATCTAATGGTAATATTTTTGTTCGAATGGGATCACTGGATGTCGAGATATCGGGTTCCAAAGCGACAAATTCATTTTTGAAATTTCCGGTAATATACTGTAGGGGTGTGTATTTCATGTATCTCAAGAATAAAGCTTTTTTTCGCAGGAGTCGATGCTATAATCAAGATCGTAATGGTTCGAGAGTTCCCGCTCGCTGTCACCAATCTACTACACAAATTTAACACGTGACCATCTGGCGGAAGCGGTTATCGCGAGTGAGATCCTTTTCAGCGTCCGCTATATCGAAGTTAGGATTGATTATATTATTGCGAATTTTACTTAATGCCATGGTATCACGTGAGGAAGTCCTCAAATTCTAATCACATGACTTGCCATTAGTTTTTTTCAGATATTTTTGGCGATTAGCATACATATTAAAGGGTATAAATCAAAATTTTAAATTTTTATTGCAATCAATATCAATAGGCTTTCATAGTTTTAGTGCTCGTAACAAAAATTTTAGATATTACAATAAAAAATAAGATCGTAACAAAACACAATTTTCAAGGAACTTTTATTAATTAAATCGGAATTTTTTCCGGTTCCTGCTTTGTTCAGTCAAGACGTCACATTTTTGATTGACCCAATAAGGGTACAGAATTTTTTTGACCAATTATTGGAAAGCCCGCGACCGAACTGTTAAACTAAATGTTATTGCAGTATTGGCATTTGGCCGTTTGACCGCAGTCAAACAGCCAAATGATAACATTGCATTGTAAAATTTCAGGTGGGTAAATATGCCGATAGTTCTGTTAAGCGCAAAGTAGACGCCTGCGGCAGTGTGATCTGGCAATGGTGCAGTGGTGACCGACTTTTTATGAAGAACAACCCAATTCTAATGTTCGGCTCATTAGGTTTTTTCAACAAGTTACTTTCTTTCTGTTTCTTTTGCCGGGAAGATAATGGGGAAGCACGACTCTTCAAGCACAAAAAATTACAAAACGAAATATAAAAATGTAGCTCGGATGAAACGGCAACAAATACATGTAGCAAATTCAAAATACAGTCGATGTATTTAATTTCATATGCTTTTCTTTCAAATGCATTAATGTCACTATACAATAAGACTTCGAAAACTGGCTGACAGAAAAAACTGTATTTATGAATATTAATAGCTTCTGTACACGGGAAATTTTTGGCGGACACATCCGACTAGTAAACTAATCCTGGACACTACTCGCATATATAGTAGACAGAAAAACTTCCAGATTCTGATGTAACTACCCAGCTCATCCAAGATCGATTTTCTCTTCACGTGATTTTTCCGATCCTTGACGATCTCATGAGGATGCGCAAATTTTTGACCCGGCGAAACAAATCCGCACGAGAAAATGAACAATGCAAAAAATACGGGAAATAGATGCTTTTAGCACTAATAAAGGAAATTTATAGGAAATTGCCAAAAATACATTTTTTCGATTTCGTCTGTCTACTTATTGGGTTTTTTCATAGCTAACGAAACGTAATAACGATAAGATAATTGTCGAAATTAAAAATTCTATTTTTGCACTTTTTCGTGTAACTAATAGAAAGAAGATTCAAAATGTTGATAAAAACGTAGAATGTATCATTGGCATCATCACTTTGACTGAAGAAATCTTCAGTGTGCTATAAGAAAATAAATCAGTAATAAAATAACTATCATAAGACAAAATTAAAATGTTTATTTTTGCTAGCAATCCAAGACTCGATCTAAACTAATAATATATTTCTCGGTAGAAATAATAGCAAGATGCCCAGCTCTCTTATTCTCATTCAAAAATGCATGATTATTAATGACGCTCTCTCCGAGACCAGCGGCCAGTCTAAAAATGACGGCTTTTCATAAATTCGGCCGCTGAAGAGTCGGATATGTTGTTCATGATCCATACGTTTATTAGCGAGTTATACATTTCAATAAAGGTGTCCAGTTCTGCTTAGAATAATTTTTGGAATGAGCTACTGCTGTCAACGCGGTCACTTGTCTCGCAATCCTAAATAAAGATTCCAATTTTTGCGAATGATATACTTGTACGCTTCTTTTGTGGGACCGTATTGGCTAACAGATTATTATAATTATAGGAAAAATGTAGCATTTGGACAAACCTATACGTACATGGTAGTGACGTGAGTGAAAATTACTAAAAAACTAAAGTGAAAAAATAAGAAGCTTCCAATATTTACGAGTGACCATTGCGTAATGAAGCCGCATAAAATAGATTGTAAGAAACGGTGCTTTAATGAAAATATTGAAATGCTCTAATGCAACATGTCTACTTGCATATCATTATGTATTCTTGGGTTTCGTCCTAGCTCACAGGACTCATTAGTTGGCTTTTGCGAAAATTTCGCATTTAAGAATGCCAAGACCTGCGAAATCCATTAGGTATTTCTGGAGCCAAAAAATCACAATCAACACAATAAAAAATACACTTTTCTCTTTCACTCCGTGTGTTCGTTCCGTCGTTCTCAGCTCTCTTCATAGGGCACCCCTCAACGTCTTCTCCACCAGACTTTTCGTAGCATGGTAGCAGGTTGTTCAGACCGGTTGCTTTGCGAAAATCCATATATTTGTAGTGAAAAAAAAGCAAAGCGAGATAACAAGGCATTCATTTCATTTATTTAGTATAATACTTATTACCTCTCCCTAATGCCTTCTTCGCCAGGCTTTTTCCGCAGCGTGGTGGTGGATTGTTCAACCAGCCGCTTCGCCGTTCTGGATCTATGCTTAAAATAAAGTCGCGAGCAGCAAGCACAAGTTTTTACCATCCGTTTCATCCGTTTCGTGCATTCTGAATGTCAAGCAAGTTAAGCACAAGCACGAGTTTTACCATCCGCTCCGTCCGTTTCGACCGTTCTAATTGTCAAGCAAGTTAAGTACAACACATTTTATACCAGTGTCAAGTCCTAGTCCTAAAATGCTGTGTCGCGTATTTTGTTGTCGTAGGTTATATGTGAAAAGAAAATTGTGTTTTTGCCGTGGTGGTGGGTGGGTTTATATACATTTTTAGTAATTACAAGATCGTTATGTGTATCGATAACGATAATAGATCATTTTTTTATTAAAGAGTAATGAGTAATAAAAAATAACACTGCGTGGGAAAGTCAAGTTATATAGTTGGGTGAGATCGGGGATAATTAGTATCGCTTTGACTGGGTCCTACGCTAATACGTATTGTCGGATCATTCTTGTAATAATTTTTTATCATGCGTTCTTTTTATCGCCATTTCCACTTCCACCATCAAATAACTCTTCTTCCTCGTATTCCAACCCATTGTCCTGTAAATTTTATTTAAATGGCTAATTGCTCAATTCAAATGCTCGATTTCTTGTAACTAAGTTGTAATCTGCGACCGATATTATATATTAACTTTAAGTATATGCGGTACATAGATGCACTTGCTAAATAACATGCATAGATTTCGATCACCTGTACTATGGAAGAAATTCAGAGGTCATTTCTACTTTATTGTAAAAAAGTCCTTGAGCTCTATGGCTAACAAGTGGCACAAATATTTCGACGAGGACGATGCTAAGTTCTGTAATATTATTAAATTTCATGAAAATTGGTGTCGCATTCACGAAAATGATCTTGAGAAACTTCCTTACAATAAAGCTAATGACGCGCTTAACAAAAGTCTTCGCGCAATTGCAAACAAAAGTCCAGACGTCGAAAAAATTCGGACAGCCAACCTTTTGATGATGCTCCAGGCTAGTATATATTTCATTTTTATGTGTGATTTAGTCTGCAACAGAGAGCCTACGAATCTGTCACAACTTTTAGTTGCCTTTGACGGTCTTTTAGATCGCGCCCATCTTTGGACTAGGAGTACACTTTTAGTTGTTACTTGACAATCTTTTAGATTGACAAATCTCTTTTGAAATAAGGAGGAAGATTCATGGCTGCACCGGCTAAATTCAAATATATTACGAGTGCTTCTCTTAACTATGGGTCTTATTTACAGATTCACAGCCGATGAACTCCTCACAAACGTTGAGGAATGGACTTGGAGAGAAGTTGTTAAATTTATAAAGATATAGTATACCTTAGTGGAAAACAGATTAAGAAATTAGAAAGAACAAGCTTTTTTTCGGTTGATCGAAGAAATACCTACCCGTAAACCTTGCTTATTTGAATTTACCCATAGTCTCTTATCAACCGTTATGAAGATCGTTGAAGAGACTTGAGAGAAAATCAGGTAATAAAGCTTTATATTCTACTTCTTGCTCCGGTTCAGGTTCTGACTCTGCTATTTTTCTCAACTTTAAGTATGATCTTCTGATAAGCAAAATTCCGAACTTCAAAAACTTCGTAAAAGAATTAAGTGAAATTTCAAAATCGTTAGATGTTGAAAATCAAGAGGAGTAAACAAAGCTGAAAAAATATTCTTGGCATTTTGTTTAATACTTTTAAGTCATCTTGTTTCAAGAGCTTTATTGTTCTTTCTTTCATTATCATGTTTTCTGCACTAACTTTGGATGGATATATGTATCTGTTTTGGAACATCAACCAACTGCATGGACTTCAATTCTTACCAAATAAAAAATAATGTTAAAACAGTTGACATTTAATAATACAGTTCCGGCGGAAAGTAATGGCGGTGAGATTGTTATATAAATTTTACTATAATACTAGCGTTTTTTATAGAAGCAAAAAATATATAAAGTGCTAGATTAATAAAAATTAAAAAAAAGTAAAAATGTGATGGATTTGCGAAAAGCGCATCATGGCAAGTCATTTTCCCGATTGCAGATTTGTAAAATTTTCAAAACTTATTTTCTCAATAACCAGTTATCAGGATTTATATATAATTTTGGTCTTATTAAATTCGTCTCAATAAGATGAACATTTTGGTAGTAATTTCATTTAAATCAGAATAATATTTATCGAATTATTGCGATTTTTAGTTTTTTTTTTAGTTAAAAAAACGTTCTAATTACAAAATTTTTAAAATTTTATTCAAACTTGCATTGACACGGAAAGAGATCACATCAGGCACTAATATTTTAGAGGCATAATGCCTACTCAAAGGCACTATCAAAATAATATTTTTTTAATTTTATTATACAGATTGAATAAAAAAACTGGCCGCCATTACTTTCCGCCAGAACTGTAATTATTTCACGTTCATGAGATTCTAATTCTTTGTTAAATAAAATTGAAAAGGATAATCTATATGAAGTTATAAGGTTACAATGTTGCCAATTATTTTTTTTTACTACATACTTATGGTAATAAATCATTTTTATGATGAATTTACTATGCCATTGGTCGATTTTTGGGTTAATCCTTCGGGAAAATGTAATGGTTTCGCTTTATAATGCATGTAGTGTTACCATTGGAAAAATAAAAAAATATTTGTGCGAAGCATAATTATAATCTGTGCTCGGTTCCTGATTACATGCACATGACAAACCAATAAAGATGCGCAAATTTTTGATCAGCCCGACAACAAATATCTAAATCTAACTTTTCACATTCTTATTGGTTTGTTATCATGTGATCACAAATTATAATTATGTAACAAGATATTCTATAATACAAAAAGCTTAAAGATATTAAATATTGCATTTAGTGATTTGGACTAAATAATTTAATTCAAGTTCAAATTATTTTATTTTTAAATTTTACTATAAATTTTTTATAGATTCTAATACTCCTAAATTAGTTTAATTTATTTAATAATTTAGTCTATATATAATAATTTAGTTTTTTAATTTAGTCTTTTAAGTTTTAAATTTCTAAATTGTTCTAAACTATTTACTCGGAATTACTAATTGTATTACTAGTAATTTTTTGAAGAATTTTAAAATAAGTTATTATATATTGTTGTTATTTTATTATTTATCATTTTCATTATGCATTATTTCAAAAGTACAATAATATTCTTTTTAAACTTTTCTTCTTACTATTATAATTTATAATTTCTTAAAATCTAAGTTTAATTTTAAATCTTTAATTTATTAATTGATTCTTATATAGAATAACTGGGATAGATATCACATTGATATATAAATTTAAAAATAATCACACATCCAATTAGATTATTTGTTTTTTATCACATAATTCACCAATGAAAAATAGTAATATCTCATTAACCAACAATTAAAATTCAAAAATTTTAATATTATCATAATCCTTATAATCTAAGAAATCTGAAAATATAAGTTTTCTCATTTTTGAACAAAAACTAATAGAGATATTTATTAAGTTTAAAGTTAAACAATAAAAAAATCAGACTTTAAATTCTGTGTTCAAATTTTGTAATACATTAATTAAAAATAATAATAACTTATTAACCAACAATTAAAATTTTAAAAATTTTGATATTATCATAATCCTCATAACTTAAGGAATCTGAAAATATAAGTTTTCTCATTTTTGAACAAAAACTGACAAAGATATTCAAGTTTAAAGTTGAACAATAAAAATATCAGACTTTAAATTCCACGTTCAAATTTTGTAATATGTTAATTAGAAACAACAATATCTTATTAATCAACAATTAAAATTTTAAAAATTTTGATATCATCATAATCCTCATAACTTAAGGAATCTGAAAATATAAGTTTTCTCATTTTTGAACAAAAACTGATAAAAATATTTAAGTTTAAAGTTTAATAATAAAAAATCAGACTTTAAATTCCGCATTTAAATTTTGTAATATGTTAATTAGAAATAACAATATCTTATTAACCAACAATTAAAATTTTAAAAATTTTGATATCATCGTAATCCTTATAATCTAAGAAATCTGAAAATATAAGTTTTCCCATTTTTGAACAAAAACTGACAAAGATATTCAAGTTTAAAGTTCAATAAAAAATATGCAGTACAATTATTTTTTTTACATGTACAAGAATTATGACTAATATCTCTACAAATACTATAAATATAAATATAATTTTTATTCTCTAAAAGTGAATTATAATATTTTTGTAAAATTTTAATTTCTTCTTTTAGTTTTTCATATTTTTCTTGTAAATTTTTAAAATCATAAAAAATTTTTTCATTTAAATAATTATTTTTTTCTAAACTTTTTAGTTTATCTTCTAATTTTTTATATTTTCTTTTTTCTCAGTATAATATCTTTTATTATATTTATTTTTTTTATTTTTTTTAATTATTTTTCATTTAATTCATTATTATTATCTTCATTATCAATATGTTTTCTTTTAGATGATGATGATGATAATGATATTAATATTAATATTATTAATGATAATAATAGTGATGATAAGAATAATAATAGTGATTGTGGGAGTGATTGTGATTGTGATGATGATAGTGATAATGGTACTAATAATGATAATGGTGATGTAATAGTTGTAGTTATTTCGATCTCTGTAATATTTGATACAGTTAATATAATAACTGCATTTGTTAATTCAGTAATTGCATCTTTTGATACAGTTGATTCAATTATTGTGAAAATAATTATTGTTGGTTCAATTAATAAATTTGTTATAAATTTATTATTAAATATAAAAAACATTTCATCATCAATTGTAAAATCGATATGGTGCATAAAATCTAAAGTCATCAAACATTTGTATTTTACAAAATGTATAAACATCTTTACTAAGAAGTAAATACAAAATTTAATCCGTAAATATGATAGAATAGGCTTTTTCTGAGCATATTCACAGATTAAATTTTGTATTTACTTCTTAGTAAAGATATTTATACATTTTGTAAAATACAAACGTTTGATGACTTTAGATTTTATGCATCATATTGAAAAAATCAAAATTGTTAAATATTTTTTAAATTGTTGAATTATAAGTTTGGATTTGTTATTATTTGTTGAATTTGTTATTTTTGGAAAAATATTTTAAATTTATCATTTTTATATTGTTTTTACAAATAAATTATCTAATTTTTGTGAAAAACTTATGATAAATTTAATTAATTTTGTGATAATTTGTGATTATTATCAATTAAAAAAACTTATAATACATAATAATAAATTTGAAAAACTTACAATATGTTTTTTCTTATTAATATTAAAACTTGTAAGTTTTTTATTTATAATAATTAATAATTAATAATCTTTTTTTATATTGTTTTAATTTTAATTAAAAAACAAGTTTTTAACCAATCATAATAAAAATTAATTTTCATTATATGATAAATCAAATGATAATATTAAAGAATAATATTTTTTCATATTGTTATTAAACAGGTTTATAAAATAGATTTTTAACTAATCAAAAAATTAATTTATATCACATGATGCATCAAAAGATAATCTTAACAAAGAATAATTTATTTTAGATTAAAACAAGTTTTTAACCAATTATAATAAAATTAATTTTTATCATATGATATATTAAATGATAATTTGAAAAAAAATGATTTAATAATAAAATTAATAATTAATATTTTCATAAATAATTCCACATTTAAAATACAATACTAAACTAGAATTTAACTATTTTAGTGATACATTTATATCCAACTTATGAAAGAGTTGCTTAATACTGTTGTATAATGGAATTTCACATTAATTATTAATCAAAATTATCATTTAATCTTATTGAATAATTTTGAGAACACATGTTTATATTTTAATTAATTAAGATCTTTATATTTACATCTCGTATTATATTATTATTTATATTATTATTTGTATTATATTTATATTATTATTTACAAATAATATATAGATCATTTATTTAGGTTATATTAGATGATCTATATTTATATTAGATCACAAGACAAGTAATTAAGTGAGCAAACAAGCAAACAAGCAAGTAAGCAAATAAGCAATTTTCTTGTAAATATTATTGATAGTTTTAATTTAACAATTTTATATAAAAGAATCATGTATTTTAACTTAGAAAAATTA